TGGCAGGACTTTCTTATACATGGGATTTGTTTATTTGTTTGTTTGTTTTTTTATTTCTTTTCCAAGCAAGATATAAGTAGTTATTTTATGTTACAAACTTAAAGATCAACTAGTAAATATCCTGTGCACATGCACAGATGTATATAAAATATTATAAGTAATATTTGAGAATTTAATATTAAAATTTTAGATAATGAACATATTACATTTTTAAAATTTAATCATTAGAAAAAATAAATTAATGATTGTTTATTATCATTAGATAATAGCAGTTTGATTATTATTATTATTATTACAAAAACAAATGTTTATAAGATTCTAAAGTTGTTTGACTATGCTATTAAAACAATTTACTAATTGTTTTAAAGAAATTTTTTCATGAGATACAAAAGAAAAAGATAATATTGATGTTAAAATAAATAACTTGAAACAATTGTTTATAATTATGCAATTTATATTTATTGTGAATTATTATTAGTTGGTATTAACATTAATTATTATATAATATAGTAGAAAAATACATGATTACACTCAATAGGATGTATTAATGTGAAAAGTAAAAAAATTTTAATGATAAATTTTGTAACCGAAATGGAGAGAAAATTTTAGAGGTTTTATTAAATAAGTTTTATTAAATGCTATTAGCTAGTAATTATATATATATAGATGTATGCATGGGCACTAAGTCTAAATGTAACTTTGCACATAATCATCATTTACTGTTTTCGACCTACATTACTTGTTGTGGATAGAGTTATTATTATTAGGACAATGCTGCATGTACAATTGTAGTATACAATATTGGTTGACAACTTAGTTAAAAACATCATTAACTCAAATCTCAGCCATACATTTATTTGCATCTCAATCACCCACATCATGCCACATAATATTGTCATTGAATATTGTACAAAAAAATTGATAGGTTTTTCCTATTATGAAACATGACCTTTCATTACAATCCCAATAAATGGGCCTTCCTTATGCTCCATAGAACAGTAACGCGCATTATTATGAAGCAATAATTTTCACTCGTTCTTGTTCGTTTTATTTCTTCTTTTAAGAGCATCTTCAATGCTCAATGTTGTAGTGTCAAATTATATTCCACATCAACACATTTATTAATATCATAATTTTTCATCCTCAAATGTACAAATGTGATCACAAATGTTGTGATGAAGTGGGCATAACTAATGTCTATAATGTAGAGAAGAATGTGATTCATCCACATTCTCCTCCACACTCTAACTAGCCAATGAAGAGAAGAGAGAGACTTGCTATTACCATTTTTAAACTATTTAATTATTTAATTAATTCTATTAATTCATATTAAAATTTTAATATTTGGTAAGTAGATAATTGTAATTAGACTACATTATGCATTAAAGATGATTTTTTAATTTAATAGTTGTGAACTCAACATTTGTCCTACATGTATCACAATCTATTTAATTTCTTGACATTTGTCAAAATTTATTTTACAACATTAGAGCATTGGAGATGCTCTAAATCAGCCTTCTAAGTCGACTATAGTCGACTTAATCAAAATTTATATTTTGTGTACAAAATTTTACTTTATATGAAAGTATATATTTTTTATATTGAATTAATTGTGATATATATTCATTGAATGAAATTCTAATTATATAGTTTAATAAATTAATTACATACAATAATAATTAGATTAAGCCCAATATTTTATTTCCTAAACATATATTCAATTAATAAATAATTACAATAAATAGATAGTTATGTCACTCATGGGCCTTATAATCTTAGCCCACTTGACTCTTGTATCGATACAGCTGTTTATCTAGCAGTTAATGTGTAGGTTTTTCTAAAATTTGAAGAAAATTTGAGAAGTATATGGAGCATTTTTTAACTAAGGTTGGATATTGAATAAATCAAATGCAAAATCTCCATGTCATGTGGTATATGTAGTGGCAATTGTGGTATTTATCAGATCACATTTCCCAACGTTGTCCCAACATTGTTGTACCTGAGATTTTATAATAAAATGTTATATTATCTATTATTATTATTATATAGGAAGGCAATATAATAAATCTATAATAGTAATTACAAAACATTTCAAAATCCCGCCTAATACTTAGTAATTTTTTTTTTTTTTGAAAAAAATTGGGATAAGCCGGCTAAATAAATCACATTAAACAATCCACTTTCATGCTGCCGGCAAACAACATTTGTTACTGGAGAGTCTCCAATGAAACTTTTCTATGGAGACATGGAGACAAGCTAGCATGTGCAAATGTGGTGGGATGAAGGTTGTGCTCTTGTGACTTCAAAATTCAAATTTGGTTTTTGACTTAAATCGTGTGATATAGGTTTTTGGTTTTGGCTCATGTTAGTTACTTATTGCAAACACTTCAAAATTGATCTGAGTTATTTTGAATTTTTAGAAAACTTAAAACAAAATGACACAATTTATCAGATTGGATTGTATAGATTTGAACAAGATTTTGTTTTACCATAATTTTCTGTAATCTAGTTTAAAAGTTGGGAAGAAATCTATTTTTATGGAAATTAGTTGAAAAAATTCCGAATGCTTTAGAAAAATTCCGCCACTCCCATAATTTCGAACTCCTCAATAAAATCTCAGTCATTGTGGTATGGAACATTTATTTTTCTATAACCAATTTTGCAAAACATACCAAAATCTTTGGGACTCTATCAATTAGTTTTGATACTAATAAAATTACAAATGATTTTTGTAAAGAAATATTCCAGTGTTGATAATTCTTAAGAGTCTAACTAATATGTAGAACACGTGTTTTCGGTTTAACGAAAATTTATAAACTTAAAATTTTTTGATAATACTAAATTTATATAGATAAACATGATGCATTCATTCATTAAATTGGTTCATATCCTATTACATTTCTTTTATTAATAAATAATTTTCTTAAATTTTAACATTTTGAATTTTTTAGCCCTGCCTGACGCTCGGGTTTCCCCATAATAATGTAATATCACCTTAACGACCATTTATATTGAAATCGTATACCTTTTAGTGTGTTAAAATATTTATAACATAATTCGTCGCGTTATAGTTCTTATACTACGTAGTGTAAATAGAATTTCCTATTGCGTAAGCTATAAGAATATAAGATTTAGTTTGTTAGAAATATCAAAATATTTGAATATAATAAAATTGGGTGGTTAATTTAAAAAAAAAATATCTTAATACATATTATATGACAATAAATTTTAGAGTAGTATAATAGTTGAGTATTATGATGAATAAAAAGAGGAAAATTTTTATTTTGGTATGAAATGTCCAAATTTATATGGTATGAATTTCATTTAGTATGGATAGAAGTGTATTTGAAAATTTTAAAAATAAAATAAGTGATATGAATTTTATTTAGTATGAGTATAATAGTTGAGTTTTAGGTTGATTTGTAAAATTAAGATGATACAATTCTCAAATTTTAACATATTCTTATATAACTTGCTATAAGTTATTGATGATAATTCCACAAATTGACATGTATTCCTCTTGAAAATTAGAAAGATTTTTGAACAAATATTTGTTAATAAAATTTAAAATTTGTTGGATTGATAATAAAATACAATCCTGGGTCAATGTTCGTTTATTACCAAAAACAAGTCATTTATAATTCTGGAAAATTAGTTAATAAATTTGAACAACAAGTTAACCGACAATAAATATAGGAAATTTCGAGATTAGTAAAATATAGATATATATAAAATATATAAGGGAATTTATTGTGTAGTCCAAATTTGGGTTCAAAATTTAAAATGTAAATAAGTAATTATTAATAACTTATGGGTCAATATTAACTTGGACGTAAATAGAATAGTAAATTATTTATAGTTTAATAAATTACTCAACTACTTAAATTTTTTATTTGGATAGTTTATATAAAAATAAATTTATTTTAATTTATTAAAAAGTATAACTTTCAATATTATACTTATTATTCACATAAATTTTTAAATATATGATATAATTTTACTAAAATAGTAATTTTGTCGAACTACATTATATTCAAATTGAATTTTTGAATAAAGTTTTTAAAATAACACTTATTTTGAAATAAATATAATGTAGTTTATTATCAGTTATGTGCACTGTACGGGTCGTGTACTAATTTTAAATAGACATGTTTTATGTAATTTTGTAATATTTAAATTTCTTATAATATTTTAAACGAATATAGGTAAATTGTATCACATATTGATTCTATATTTTTAATTTAAAAATATTGTTTAATGATAATTTTAAATTTATAAATATTAATAAATATCTCTTACCCGTGCATCGCACAGGATTTGTAGTAGTATAAACGAAATACCCGTTAGAGAGAATAATGATAGATATTAAAGATATTGATGTAGAACGTGATGCGAACAGAAAAATAATGAGATACTATCTAACATAATTCACTAAATCTGATAAATTTCAATTCCAAAACTGAAAAACCCACGTCTGAATTTACTGAATCTGATAAATTTCAATTCCCAGACTGAAAAACCCACGTCTGATGCCTTACTGATAAATAAAAGGAATGAGTCATACTCCTAACATCTTGCCACACATAAGCAAGATGTTTATTTATAAAGAAGGAAATAATGGAAATAATATAAAGGAGCATAATATTAAACGAGCTAAACTCGGAGCCGATCGTTTTTATTAAAAAAGGCGATGGCGGTCTCGTCTCCATTAGATATTTATTCTTATTAATTAAATTACATTTCTCAGTTAAATACAAGACTGAGTTGTCATTAGTTTTTTCGTTGTTCTCCCCACTAAGACTGTGATCAACCTGAGTTTTTTTGAAAAATAATATGTTATTAATATGAAAAATAAACATGTTATTATTATAAAAAAATAAATAATATCATAAAATGATTGATATATAATGGAAATTATGTGAGGTTGTGACGTATGTACAGTGAAATTTTGTAAATGAATAAAATAATTAGTTATTTCACGTCCCACCATTAAACTTTACCATTTCCAAAAAATAAGCAAAATCCTATATTTTAATTCCATCACATGTGTATTCTATATAAAAAATGAAACTTTTCCAATATATATCCAAGGTGGCAAATTTCACTAAAGATAACCGTTAATGCGTCCCGCACTTGGCGTTGCCGTTGTTAGTCCATTTTCTTCTACCTATTGTGTACACACGCATGAAACTTAATTTTCTGGGTTTTCATTTCTTAAGGATCAATCTTTTACATTCGATTAAGGACACAAACATGTGAAAAAAAACATAAGAAATCATCGCATTGTCGAATTTCCTGATTTTCAGAGCATTTGGAGGATTTTGATTTGGATAAACAGTAAACAGCACGAAAAAAAAATGTCGAATCTATACGGTGGGGATTTTAATCAGAAGATCGATTACGTGTTTAAAGTTGTCCTAATTGGAGACTCGGCTGTCGGGAAATCCCAGCTGCTCGCCAGGTTCGCTAGGAACGAATTCAGCCTAGAATCTAAGGCCACGATTGGGGTCGAATTTCAGACCAAAACTCTCGTTATCGATCACAAGACGGTCAAGGCACAAATTTGGGACACCGCTGGTCAAGAAAGGTTGTTGATTTTAACAATTTTGTTTGCAACAATAGTAACCTATATCTAACATGAGATCAATATATGATTCATAATTTTGCTTCAATTTGTTTTTATGGATCTTGTTAATTACAAGAAATTCCACGTTTAATTTCCTTTTTCTTGTCGTTTGGTGGCTCGAGGAGATAAAAGTTTTTATTTTTTCAAAATTAATTTAAAAAGTTTCATTTATTATTTTTTGGTTATTAATTAATGGTTAAATTTATTTTATGGATCCGTTTTGAAGGTTTTTTTGAAGTGTAATTTTCTCTTTGTCGTTAATAATCGATAGGTATAGGGCCGTGACGAGTGCATACTACCGAGGCGCGGTTGGCGCCATGTTAGTCTACGACATGACCAAACGTCAGTCGTTCGACCACATGGCTCGGTGGCTCGAGGAGCTCCGGGCCCACGCGGACAAAAACATCGTCATCATGCTAATCGGGAACAAATGCGATTTGGGGACATTAAGGGCGGTCCCCACGGAGGACGCACAAGAATTTGCAGAGCGAGAAAATCTCTATTTTATGGAGACATCTGCGCTTCAAGCGACGAACGTTGAGAGTGCGTTTATGACTATTTTGACCGAAATTTATCGGATTGTGAGCAAGAAAACGCTAGCGACTAGCGATGGGTCGGACTATGCAAAGTCGGGATCTTTGAAGGGTACGAAGATAATTGTCCCGGGTCATGATTCGGACAATGCCAAGTCGGGTTGTTGCATAGGTTCATAGTTTTTGTGTGCTAATTAATCACAATATATTGTAATTATATTTCAGAATTTTCATGTATGATGTTTTGTACTTTTGCTTTTACAAAATGCAATGAGATGTGGTTTTTAGAGATTTGTAGCAATTTGTATGGTTCTTGGTTTTGAATAGAGTTTATGAAGGCTTGTTTGAACTCTAGTTTTGGTATCTTTCTCTGATCAATAAATCTATGCGGTCAGCTCGATTCATCGATACGATATTATCTAGATATTATTTATTATGAATTCTCGACTTAGTTGAAATAATCGAGAGATCAAGAGTGTGAGAATTAAATAATTAGAAAAAAAATAATCATCCCATGTGTGAAAAATAAAATAAAAAAACCAAAGGTTTTTACTTTGTATTTTGATGGAATTCTATGAAAAGTGTTACTCATCACATCATACAATAACAAGAGCAAATATATAGAAATATTGATTGTACATGTCATTAAAGTTTAAACCATATCACACCACGACTCATTCCATATTAAATCAAACACAATTTTAGCATATATTATGATTTAGTTTTGTGTAGCAAAACTTAAAAGTTAAAATCACCAAAAAATATGCCACATGTAACATCCACACGAATACATTCCACATTTTAAGTATTTAACATGCAACTTAAATCTACAAGTAACTTGAATAATTGAGATGCTCATGAGTTATAGCTAGTTAAATCTAAAAAATATGATATTTTACATAATTTATTATAGGTACGTCCGTTAAGATACGAGTTCAAATCGTTATATTGATCAGATCAACGGATAGAGCTCAAGTCGTTTTGTTACGAGACGAGTTAGCTATGTTCGGTTCGTTTGTACCTTAGACATGTAGACATGGCCAAAGGGCCCGCCGACCCGACACTGGCCCGGCACTGAACCGGCCCGAACCCAGTCCGGTCAAACTCGTTGACTACGAGTCCGAGACTGACCCGAATTTCAGACGGGCCGTGTAAGGGTCTTGTTTTTTTCGCCACTGACCCGTCGGCCCGGGCCAGGCCGGGCCGGTCCGGCACAGGAAAATACAAAAGATTTGGAATTTTCTTTTTTTTTTTCCTTTTTTTTTAAATATAACGGGCCAGACCCGGGTTGGGCCTGGCCCGGCACGGACATAGGCCGTGCCGGTTCAGGGTCAGCCCAACCCAGCCCGTCGGCCCGGCCCAGCCCGGACCCGGCTCGAGTTTTGGTCATGTCTATAGACATACACAAGATAAATAATAGCTTGGTTGTTTAAAAAAAAAATAGAAATATTTTCCTCATGATAGAAAAAAAAAAGGTAAAATGTGTTATGGGCGTTAGGGTAAATTGGTAATTAAGCAGGCGAAAGGTTCCAAAATATTTGAACGAGTTTGAACTTATTTGACATTGAAATTTTTTACATTTTCAGCTTATAAAATTCCGCCCAAATTTCATTTCAAATTTTTGCCCAGCCATTTTGTCTGTGTTGTCGACTTGTCTCTCTATATTTCATTTGATCCCACACACAGCAGAAGAAAAGGCCAAACTCCATTGTTGAGAGCTTTGAGCTCCACCATTGCATTTGCCGCAGCTCATTTCCACGACTGAAGTTCCCTCTCACCGTCCCTGGAAAAAAAAATTCTCCGAAAGTCGGACGGAGATTAATTTTTCCGATTAATGATCACAAGTTGCAGTTTCTTTCATTTTCAACATTAGTAGATGTAGTTTCTCATATCAAATTGAATTGACACAATGTATCCGTGAAGGATTGCAACAGAATGTCGGAGGCAAGAGACCGATTATCGAGGAGGTATTGAGCAGGGGGAATGTTGTGAGGGTAAATTCGGTAGCTTTTGTTCTTGAAGATGAGGGCGATAGAGGGCAGGCTGACGGAACTCCCTTTCGGTGGAGGGACACGGCAATGGCGGGCACTCCTGGAGTGGCTTTGGGGAGGGGCAGTGTTGGAAATCTAAGAAGTGGTCGTGTGTGGTATTTGGGTCGATCGTCTGCACGGATAACGGGGCTAGAAAATTTTTCGCCTTTGGTGGGCAGTGGCCGTGGCCGAGCTCTTGGAAGTACTGTTTTGCCCCATTGGTAGACATTACAGCTGTAGCGAGTGTAATATTGCTTTTCGTTTTTAGTATTGTGTTTTCAGTTTTGTTGGGGAAATAAGTATATTGTTTGTTTTTGGTGATGGGAATCTTTGGGGTTTGAATATAAGTAAGCAAGGATTCCAGGAGAACCTGATGGGATTTGCTTGGGTTCTAATTGCCGGTCTGCTGAATTTGTAGTTGTGGTTTATGTTGTAACTATTGTTTTTCTTGTTTTATTGGTGTTGTTTGTTATACATCTATGGTTGTGCTAAATTTGGTTTTATGATTAATACATACTCCCTCCGTTTCTTATTAAATGTCGTTTTAATTTAAAACTTCTAAATTACGATTTTAATGGGTTGTGTAATAATCTTATTTTTTAATCTTATTAAATTTAGTTTTTGATTTATTAATGGGTGGTTTTTAAAGATAATGATAAGAGATAATGTTTGTTAAAGAGAATAAAGATGTAAGAATGAATATAATATTTCCAACGACAATTAATTTACAAAAAAGTTGACACCCTACAACGACATTTAAAACGAAACAGAGGGAGTAATTACTATGTTCTTCAGTGTGTTTGCTGGTCTTGATATGTGGCTAGTGACTGTAGGATTTTTTTAGGGACTACTGTGATGATCATAATGTTAACTAGGGCTGGTATCGGTTCGGTTACCGAACCAATAAGACTAAACTGATACCGTACCGATTATTTCGGTAACAACAAATATGAAACCGTTACCGTACCGATACTTATCGGTAACCGAGTTTTCGGTACCGAAAACTCGGTTCGGTACCGGTTTTTTACCGATAAAACTAAAATTTACCAATAAATATGAAATTTGATTAAGCTCGGTTCGGTAACGGTTTTTTACCCAAAAAACCAAAATTTACCAATAATGAAGCCGCTTGATTAAGTTCCAACATTCATTTACCATGTTTTAACATGATTTAAGTCCAACATTCCAATAATAACAACATTCCAACATTCATCCACCAATAATACCCAACATTTCATCTACCAATAATACAACTTACAAGAACAAACCTTTTTATCCAAACACACCTTCATGATTCATCTATTTAATAATTTCTTACTTATTAAAACGATGTTTTTTTTTGTTAATGTGTGAGTACTTGAATTACTAATTTATTAGTACTAAGTTATTTTATTAGTATCAAATTATTAATTATTAGTATTAAATTATTAACTACTAATATTAAATTTTTTTTAGTTACTTATCGGTTCGGTTCGGTAATACCGTACTTTTATAGTTTATAAACCGATACCGAACCGATAACATATCGGTAACCGATGATCGGTTACCGTTTTAAATGAGTCGGTATGGTTCGGTTTTTTTTCTCGTCGGTTCGGTACGGTTCGGTTCGGTTTTCGGTTTTCGGTCAAAAAATGCCAGCCCTAATGTTAACTATAGAGCTCTGTCTGCCGTATTTTCTTGTTGTACACTAATTATCAGGTGACACACAAAATAACACAAGTGGGATGAGTTTGTCATCATGTGTCAAGAATCTTTTTCTTTTACATGCTCAGTACTATTGCATTCTCTTACCTATGAAGTTAAAAAAAGATACTCAACACTATGGGTTTATTATTTATATGATTCAATGCTCCAGCATACTTTGTGCAAATTTCTTAACTAATTGATAGAATTTTCTCTCTAGGCAATTGAAAGAAGAAGAGCACATTGGGAAGAGGGTGAAGGTCTATCACAAACTGAGAGTCCTTTACTTGAGGATCGTATTCGTGATCCTTCAGCATCCACATTAGCTGTTCAACTCGAAAATGACCTTTCAATGATCTCCCCACATCCCACGATTGGACTTAAACATCCTCACCCTACTATTGGTAAAGTCCCAAAGATACTGCTCGATATTGCCAATAACCAGGAGGATGGGGATTCTTGCAAGACGCCTCAAAAGAAGCTTCTAGAAAACATCGACACGGTTGAGAAAGTGGTGATGGAGAAGCTTCGTAAGCTGAAGGGGACCCCATCTGCTAAGAAAGCTGAGAGGGAAAAACGGGTGAGGACTTTGTTGAGGTGGCTCTTTGGTTGGATGTTGAAGGCCCCCGAGTATATGGCCTGTTTGGTATAGTTGATCATCCCTTGATGATTGGATTCTTGCTTTGTTGAAGATCATCTCTTGATGATCAAGCTATGGAATATTGGTATAATTTTAGTTTCTATTGTAAATAGTTGTAGGACATCACAACTAGCATAGATGATGGATTAGTAGGCGGGATGGAAGCAAGTATGAGGAGTTTGTGTTGACATCTGATTGACATTACTATTGCAAAATGACCATTAAAATTTTCTTTATCCTGCTATTTGTTATCAGGTGTTGATGATTGAATAAGAGGTTGATAAGTATTTTTTTTTAGATATCCTTATCCAAGCACATGTTATTTTATTTATAGTTAGTTGCTAGTAGTACAAATGAATGAAACTTCAACTACTTTTTCCTGTCTGCTCTCATGAACACTAGTGTACGAACTTCACAAACAGCACAATTACAGAATATAGAATTATTAGAAAACAAATGTTAATATATATATTTTGCTGCAATTAATATACAAAGTTTAGATCTATTCTTCGCATCTGCTTAAGTGAGCAGGACCATATGATTTTTGCAAATAATGCAATAATAGGAAACTGATCTATTATCAGACAGAAGCTCCAAATTGTTATTACCAGAATGGGTGTGGATACAGATACAGTAGGCATTATCATTATTATTATTATTGCTACCACTTATTCAACCCCCCCCCCCCCCCCACTCAACCTTATTTGACAGAAGTGTTTGTGCACAACAGTCTTGGTGGATCCTAAAATAACACTTGGAGCACTCGAAAGCTATGTCGTCATTGTGTTCCTTTATGGCCTTCCCACAATGGCCACATGGATAGCAATAGACCGAAAGCGCGTGCACACAAGCTACGGGACATGAAACATGGCCGCGTACACGGACAGTAAACCCGAATTTGATCTTGGAGAGTCGATCCAGAGAAGGGATGCAGTTAAAGTGAAACGATTGTTGACATATGTCGCAATGGTAGTGCCACTCCCCACTTGCTACGCCCTCTTCGCAGACCTCACAAAGTATCAACCCATCCTTTTCAAGATAATGCCAATGTTGAAGCTCGTGAGGGTCGAATTTGGGGTAGAGTAGTGTTTTTGGAACGAGGGCGCAATTAGTGTGTATCCCGAAATTACGGCAATTATTGCATATGTAGCTAGCGTCGGGTTTTAGTTGAGAGCCACAGTAGGTACAACGTTGTTGGGTGTAAGTTTTGGATTAGAGGATGTGGCTAAAGTTGTGGGATCGGTGCGTGATGGAGGTGGGCATGAGGGCACACACGACGTCCCGGATGAGAGAAGTATTGCCGTCCTCTAAGTAGACGAATCCATTGCACGTGTAATTGCAGTCGGCACATTTGAAGAAATCGAAGGGATTTTTGCGGTCTATGTTGGTGGTTAGGAGGGAGAGTGTTTTACGTCTATTTCGAGGGAAGGTAAGTGTGGCGGGAAGGTGCGCGCAATAGCTGTGGAGAAAGAAATCTGTGCATGGGTTGCTGCCAACTGATTTTCCATTAATATGGCGGGCACAAGTATAGAATGAATCGGATGGAGAATTTGGTTGAATACAAGCATTGCATGTATGCTGAACATGAGTAGTAGCATCACTATGGATCAAAAGATGCCCGTTTACTACTTTGTCACGATCATCATCATCATTTGGAGTAGCAAGGCGGGTGTCCTTTGTATACTGGCGGTTGTACATTATGCTTGACATCACGCTGGTTGATTCGTCTTTCTCTGGCAAGGGGATCATGTTGGGAATGGCTCCAAAAAAGAAAAACACTATACTGCAAATTTATACAGTTAACAGTAATAGATAATTGGATTATTCCAGGTGTATGTAGTGCAAGTAAAGTAGCTGTACCTAAATTGTATTTGAATTGACGGGGATCTTTCTCCTTGGCGCACTTGACATGAACATAGTAATCACAATGGAAGCAAGTGTAAAACCCGAAACCTCTCCTCCTCCTCATTCTCTACGCAGCTGCAAATATCGCACCGATATTTATCCCGTTGAGACCACCCACGCACGTAAGACAGCACAAGGGGATGAGGATGTAGATGCTTAAGCCTGATGACGTTTGGCAGCTTGGCGCAGTCCGAATGAAGCCAGAAGTCGCAATCTCCACAGACGTAGAAGTGGGCCCACTCCTTGCGGGTGCTGTGCTGGGACCTGCACGCGCTGCACCAGCAGGAGGAGAAGTTGGTCCCCCTAACAGCTGTCAGCTTGTGCTCATGGCTCCTGTGCATCACCTTGACCGACAGCGCGCACACGAGGTCCAGCTTGAATCCACACCCACGATCCGGACACTCGTACAAGGCGGCCCCGCGCATCAAACCGCACCTGCTGCAACCATCCAAATCACTCTTCAATGGATTATTATTAATATTGCAATGACAGAGGATTAGGTCCCTGCCAGGGTGTCAAACCGAGGCCAGCTTAGGTTGGAGTCGGTCGGCTGCACATTCATTGTGTATGTTGCACATGAACGCATGCGATACGTAGGGGGAGGAGAAGATGGGGAGGCAGCAGGCCATGCACAAAGTGCGGGCCGTGTAATCGGGGTTTTTGTTGTTCTCCGCCTCCGGTTCCCGGATGCTGTGGAGACCTGCAGAAAGCTCATCATAAAGTATATGATCAATTGTTTTTGGCATTTTAATTAATTTGCAGCTTATGCAATTCTTTATTTATGATCTATATATGTGCACGCCTTTCTCTCTCACTCTCTCTCTCTATATATATGGGCATCAGAAAGTTGTCATGTGAAAACATGTACTAACACTGCAAGAAAAGAATTTTAGTTCCTGCTCGACCAAGGAAATGACTGTTATACATATACTTTATGCCAAATCTGGTTTAGTTTATTTAGGCTACGTCTCTTGGTCGAGAGCCGTACTAATGGCGTTAAGCGTCAGGAATAAATTTGGTTTCGTCGACGGTAAGCTACATTTGAATCGAATTTCTCTCTCAAATGACCTCGAAACATTAACTGGAGACTTCACGACAACACATACAGGATACTTCATGTAGTCTGATTCCTTATCTTCAATTACTTCGTGTACTCTAATTCCTTGTCTTCAATTCCACGTAGAATTTAAGTCTGCTATCATTATCTATGCACATAGGTGGATATCCTTCTTTCACTTGATATTTTAACTCTAGAACATATTCGTGTGACGTAACTCCAAGTTTCTCAATTGGATAGTTTCCCACGTATATATATAAACTTTGATATAATTCCAATTGTGTTATTTTAATTTTACTCTCACTTAATGTTGATTTTAGAGTGTTCATGACACGTGGAGAGCATATACGAATACTCTATGTGTGAATAATTGTGATGATAGTTTGTGTCCGAGTGTGAGTCTGACTAATGTTTTCAATAATTGTTTCTTCAAATTTTCGTGGTTGAATTTAGTTGAGTGGGTTTGTTTCGTTAAACAAAGGTGGTTGCAAAAGAAGAAAAAAACGAATACAATGAAACCAACAGTGTTGAATTTATATATAGAGTGTAACAACTACCCACCTAACCGAACTTGAAGTTCAAAATTGATTTTTTTTCCTACATATATAATGAGATAGATATCTATATATTAACGTTATTTTATAAAAAAAAATATTTTTTATAATTATATTAATGTTCAATTAAAAATATGCAATTCTAGTTGAAATATTTAAATACTGTTGCATATATTTAAATTTAACTCTCATATATTTAACATATGACATTGATACATATGTAGTCCATTTGTGTAATGCAGAATAGAGATGAGGAAAAATATTAATTAAGGGTGTTTTAATTGATTGTGGGTGTTTCAATTAGACAAATTTCTATATTTTCTAAATTTCAATAGACACTACTCAAACTCTCGAAGGGACAATTAATCTGAAACGGAGTGTGACCTTTTGTTATTTTCTATAA